GACACTTTAATTCAAGCAATGTATCAATGGTACATGTCATGTAGTCATGGATCTTACATTGTAGTAAGATAAAATTGTTTAGTTTTATCTAATTAAAATGTGGATTGAATGACAGTCGGTCTTATTTTGTCTGATTGGGTAGAAGATCTGAGATTAGGGCACATTCCAGATGACATAACTTGATTAATCAAAACAATGATTTCTTCAAAGGTTATGGTTTGACCTAGTTTTCCATTCTTAGGTGAAATTTGTCAATTGGAGAAAGTCTTAAGCAGTGGACACATTAGCCGAATCGTTCGGCCGAACCAATCGGCGCCGAATTTTATTCAGCCGAATGGGTGGACACACTAGCCAAATGCATCGCCCGATTCAACCTGTCGATTGCATCACCTTTCACGTCACATGATTAAACATGGCGGCGTCTATGTGATTGGCTAATGAATTCTATATTCGGCCGAATGCTTCGGCGAAGCGGACACACCAGGCGAATATAATTCGGCCGAATATATCAAACCTGTTTGATTCGGGTGAATGACAGTGGACACACTAGGCGAATTTCGACGCCGAACGATTCAGCCGAATCATTCGGCTAGTGTGTCCACCGCTTTAGATTAATTATAAATTAATCAACTGGGATTAAAGCAGAATTGAAAACTAATGTCAAATTTATTCTGCTTATGGATAATTTAGCTGTTTATTTGTTTGAGTCATTTTGTTTTTATACGCCCACATTTTCATGTGGACGTATATTGTCGTCGCCCCTGTCCGTCCGTCCGTCCGTCCACAATTGTTTGTGAACAGTCTACAGGTCACAATTTTTAACCGATTTCAATGAAACTTGAAATATAGGTTAATCACCTTAAGATCTCAGTTCCTTTCAATATTGGCATGTATCGGACTGTAACTTCCTGGATTATGGCCCCTGATTGTACAAAAAAATCACGTTTTTAGCTTGTGAACACTGTAGAGGCCACAATTTTTATCCGATTTGGTTCTAAATTGAAATGTATGCTTATAACCCAAAGATTCGGTTCCTTTCGATCTTCGCGCATATCGGAACGTTACTTTTTTTTTAGCTTGTGGACCCTATAGAGGTCATAATTTTTATCCAATTTAAAAAAACGTATTATTATATCACCGTTACACCCTAAGGCCCACTGAGTTCGAATTTCGTGAAAATCGGCCCAAAACTGACAGACAAAATGGCCGCCATTCGTTCTCAAATAGCGTAAAAATGTGGTATATCAAGGTTGTGGACCCTATAGAGGTCACAATTTTTATCCGATTTTGTTGAAACTTGAAATGTAAGTTTATAACCCAAAGATCTCGGTTCCTTTAGATATTCGCGCATATCGGACTTTAACTTCCTGAATTATGGCCCCTGATTGTACGAAAAATCGCGTTTTTAGCTTGTGGACCCTATAGAGGTCATAATTTTTATCCGATTTAAAAACCGTATTGTTATATCACCGTTACACCCTAAGGACGGCTGAGTTCGAATTTCGTGAAAATCGGTCCAAAATTGACAGACAAAATGGCCGCCGTTCGTTCTCAAATAGCGTTAAAATACGGTATATCAAGGTTGTGGACCCTATAGAGGTCACAATTTTTATCCGATTTTGTTGAAAATTGAAATGTAAGTTTATAACCCAAAGATCTCAGTTCCTTTTGATATTCGCGCATATCGGACCGTAACTTCCTGAATTATGGCCCCTGATTGTACGAAAAATCGCGTTTTTAGCTTGTGGACACAATAGAGGTCATAATTTTTATCCGATTTTAAAAACCGTATTATTATATCACCATTACACCCTTAGGACAGCTAAGTTCGAATTTCATGAAAATTCTCAAAATTGACCTCTATAGAGTCCACAAGCTAAAAATGCAATTTTTCCTACAACCAAGGGCCATAATTCAGGAAATTACAATTTGATATGCACAAATATCGAAAGGAACCAAGATCTTTGGGTTATAAATTTACATTTCAAGTTTCAACAAAATCGGATAAAAATTATGACCTCTATAGGGTCCACAACCTTGATATACCATATTTTTACGCTATTTGAGAACGAACGGCGGCCATTTTGTCTATCAATTTTGGGCCGATTTTCACGAAATTCAAACTCAGCCGTCCTTAGGGTGTAACAGTGATATAATAATACGGTTTTTAAAATCGGATAAAAATTATGACCTCTAGGGTCCACAAGCTAAAAACGCGATTTTTCGTACAATCAGGGGCCATAATTCAGGAAGTTACAACAAAATTGGATAAAAATTGTGACCTCTATAGGGTCCACAACCTTGATATACCGTATTTTTACACTATTTGAGAACGAAGGGCGGCCATTTTGTCCGTCAATTTTGGGCTGATTTTCACAAAATTCGAAGTCAGTAGTCCTTAGGTTGTAACGGTGATATAATAATACAGTTTTTTCAATCGGATAAAATTTATGACCTCTATAGGGTCCACAAGCTAAAAATGTGATTTTTCTTACAATCAGGGGCCATAATTCAGGAAGTTACAGTGCGATATGAGCGAATATCAAAAGGAACCAAGATCTTTGAGTTATAAATTTACATTTAAAGTTTCAACAAAATCGGATTAAAATTGTGACCTCCATGGGGTCCACAACCTTGATATACCATATTTTTACGCTATTTGAGAATGAAGTGCCTCCATTTTGTCTGTCAGTTTGGGGCCGAATTTCATGAAATTCAAACTCAGTCATTCTTAGGGTGTAACGGTGATATAATGATACGTTTTTTTTTAAATCAGATAAAAATTGTGACCTCTATAGGGTCCACAAGCTAAAAACGCGATTTTTCTTACAATCAGGGGCCATAATATAGGAAGTTACGGTCCGATATGCGCAAATATCAAAAGGAACCGAGATCTTTGGGTTATAAACCTACATTTCAAGTTTCAACAAAATCGGATAAAAATTGTGACCTGCATAGGATCCACAACCTTGATATACTATATTTTTACGCTATTTGAGAACGAACGGCGGCCATTTTGTTTGTCAATTTTGGGCCGATTTTCACGAAATTCAAACTCAGCCGTCCTTAGGGTGTAACGGTGATGTAATAATATGTTTTTTTAAATCAGATAAAAATTATGACCTCTATAGGGTCCACAAGCTAAAAACGCAATTTTTTGTACAATCAGGGGCCATAATATAGGAAGTTACGGTCCGATATGCGCGAATATCGAAAGGAACCGAGATCTTTGTGTTATAAACATACATTTCAAGTTTCAACAAAATCAGATAAAAATTGTGACGTCTATAGGGTCCAACAACTTGATATACCATATTTTTACGCTATTTGAAAACGATGGGCGGCCATTTTGTTTGTCAGTTTTGGGCCGATTTTTACGAAATTCGAACTCAGCCGTCCTTAGGGTTTAACGGTGATATAAAAATACGTTTTTTTAAATCGGATAAAAATTATGACCACTATAGGGTCCACAAGCTAAAAACGTGATTTTTCGTACAATCAGGGGCCATAATTCAGGAAGTTACGTTCCGATATGCGCGAATATCAAAAGAAACTGAGATCTTAGGGTGATAAACATATATTTCAAGTTTCATTGAAATCGGATAAAAGTTGTGACCTGTAGTCTGTTCACAACCAATTGTGGACGGACGAAGACAATATACCTCCACATGAAAATGTGGGCGTATAAAAACATGTACTAGTAACAATGATAAATGTGTATTAATTTCAAATCCAAAAGACTTTTAAAAGTGAACATAAACATGGTGTGTAAAAATTGTTGAAAATCAATAGGCTTCTTTGGCTCAGGACCATAAATGTAGTCGATTGGATAAAAACTGTTGCCTCTAGAGCATCCACAAGCAATTGTGAACGACGGACAGATGGATTTTACTATGTGATCTATCTACAGAGTTATGGCCCTTGATCATTTTAATTTTTATCAAGGGATGTTTATGGACATGAGATGAAGAATCCGAGATCTTTGGGATATAAACATATATTTTAAGTTCCATCAAAATCTAATAAAAATTGAGACCTCGAGAGTTTCCACAAGCTAAATCAGGGGCCATAATCCATGAAGTAACATTCCGATACATGCCAATGAAAGGAACTGAGATCTTTGGGATATAAACACATTTTAAGTTTCATCAAAATCGGATAAAACTTGTGACGTCTTAAAGCGTCCACAACCTTGGTATTACATGCTTTTACACTATTTACATAAATGGGAGCAGCCATTTTGACGGGTAGTTTCTGTCAGATTTTCACGAAATTTGAACTCGCCCATAATTATGGTGTAACAGGTGATATGAACGTTTTTTTTTTTTAATATAAAACCAGTCACCTCTAGAGGGTCCATAAGCTATACGTTTGATGGTCTCCACTACAGGAAGATCTTACCAGTTGTAGGTCTTTTGACCCTATGACGTCAGACATTTGATTAACCAATCAGCGTTGATGTTTCAAGTGAGTATTTGGAAATACAACTTTTGCTTTGTCTTCGCTGTGAATGTCTATCTACAATCACTCAAATCAACCAGAAGGCAGATTATAACTCTTCCAGATCCTAGTGTAGTGAAGGCAAGCAAAACGAAATTTTGAACTATAAACGAAATGAAATAGGATCTGTGTTTTACAGATTGGGCGTTTAAAAAGTAAGATACTATTTTGATAGAAATGATGGGCTAGGGTAAGAGCACAGGAATCTTGGTCAGAATGTTCAGAGTTTGAATCCCTTTGTGGATCAAGAAGAACTCTGAATATGATGAAGAGTAAGCTGAAGCACTCCCTGGCATTTCATGCATACCTATAAACATTCATTAACGTTATGGTAGTCTCAAAATAGCTGAAGTACTGTGTTGATGGGTTCAACTTCTGCCATGTCTAAGACATTAGAAAGTAATGTGACCTTACATGATCTTGCGTTTGATCAATTTGAATAATTTTGGGACTAACATGTTTTTTGGGGGGTATACTACTATTTACTGTTTATAGTCCGAGAGTCTTTATTTGGCTTTTAATCTGGAATATTATAAATGTAATACAAGACTAAATACTGCTCAGGAATTGCAGGAATGTAATCTGAAGTAGGCTACTAGTGTTGAAAGAGCGAGAAATGGGGTTTAACATCCACTTGATTTAATGACAGACCTTCTGATTCAATGCACACGTTTTGTTAACCATTCATACCACCCCCACCCCCCGCGCAAAGTCTCTAATAATAAACAAAACTGTAGGGTTTTTTTTAAAAGAAAAAAAAATGTATTGATGAAATAGAACTGGACATTTCTTTGGCACATTTAAAGCAAAACCACATCACATACAACATCTGATATTATGGCAATAAAAGAAATAACAATAAAAAGGAATGTAATAGCTACAACTAGATAGATTGTATATTACAACATGTAGCCATAAGAAAGAAAAAACAAATTTAATACTGTTAATTATTATGAAATGCATTACTTGGACTAGCTAAAAATAAGATTCAGTTATTGGGATTTATATTTGTTGCATAGCATCTTTCTAGCACATACTTTACATACACAAGCTCATACAAAAATGTTTGAAATTTACCCTTGCTTTAAACTGTTCTAAAAACTACTAACCACAATGACACCAAAATACAAATTTGTCTATATTTTGTGCTCTACTGTACTTTTATTACATTGATAGGGAATGGGATTAAATATTTTTAAATGCAGACATTGATAAAGAGCAGAACAAAATTTTGATTTTTATCACACTTCTATTTTCAATGTTCCTAAATTTGAAAGGAAATTTAGATCATAAAATATTGATAGTAAGACATTTTATTTGAAGTTTATAATATTCACTCCTTATGATTTTACATGTTACAAAAATACACAGTATTCGTTCATTAGCAAGAGATCTCAAATTGCTCTGATTTGTTACTAACAAGTTTATTTTTCTCTCCAGTTGTTGTGGAATTTACAATTATAATTTGATTATAAATGGTCATATTGTAGAAATGATTAGAAATCCTGTAATCTATAAGTATTGATTGGATCACTTTATGACTATTATACTGTCTCTATAGATAGACCATGTTAGTAATTAGATCTCTTCACCGAAAGCCAAGACAACATCAGCCAGAATGGAGAGAGAAATGGGGTTTAACAGCGACTTGACACAAACTAGGTCATTTCGGAATTAACATATACAATTTAATGGTACACCTTAATCTTTGAGATGTGTTTCTGCATTCTACAAAATGTTCCACCTTCCAGCATTATGTATCTGTTTAAACAGGAATTAATCTAGAAATCTGTACCAAATATTTTGTATAAGCTTAAATATGCAAAGTATTTACCTGTCAAAAACAGAAGATGCTTACCTATAGTTTTTGTGGAAGATTTTTGTATTCCCTACTTCCATCTCTGTATCTATTATTCTTTCAGTATGTCCAGCATTTTACAATTATGATTAACTTGTTAATCAATATTTCAAGAACTAAACATAAATTCTCTTTATAACATAATATTAACAGTTAACATATATTGCACAATAATTTTTTGGGGAATGAAATATAAACATATATTGAATAGATTATAAGGCAATATATAGAATATTTGGAAAACATGTAAACTTTGTAATGAATTTCACACATCACAATTAATAAAGAGAATGATATAATAAATAACATGTAAAATTAATAATACTAATATCTGAGAGTTGTTTGAAAATAAAAAATATGCCAAATGTTCCTAAACTGCAGAAATGTCTTAATCAAAACTTCAGATTCATTATAACTTCTGAGATGTATTCCTAATTGTGTCAAATTGAAAAACAGTAAAGCTCACACAAAATGTTTTTATTAAACATAAAAAGATAGTTAAAGAATGTCTGACGATGGGTTTAAATCATAGAATGTTGGATACTAGACAGATTTATTATACTGAAGAATTTGCAGTTTGCTAGTGATGTCTGAAAAACAATCCAATTTCAATCTGATTAAAATACAGATCTATATTTGTTCCTTTTTTTTATGCTTTCGATGGCCTCCTCAACAGACCATTTCATTGGCTAATCCCTCACATCAACCAGAATGCGGGTTATATAACAACTCTTCCAGATCCTAGTGTAGTAAAGACAAGTAAAACTAAATTTTGAACTATAAAAAACAAAAAGAAATAGGATCTGTGTTTTAATCAGATTGAATCTAATTTATGAATTATTTGTAATGTAAGAGTGTATGTACATTACATACATTAAAGAAATCTAATATCTCATAATTATCATGTTCTATATCTGTATATACTTCACTTTATTATAAAGTACAGAACATATAAATCTACATTTCCTGTATAAACAATTTGCATACATACAAGAATGTATGATATATAGCAATTTGATCAGAGCACTTTTAGAAAATACACAAGAGACAATAAAATGATTAATTTGTATAGTTTTTCAATTGATTATCATCACCTGCCATTATTCCTCAAATTCAAACTAACATCAGACTTCAATAAAATAACCTTTCTATTATTTGTCTAACTCCAAGGTTTTAAATAAACACTAACTCTCTGACTCATGGTATTTAGTGATTGAACTGGAAATACAGAGATTAGATAATCCTAGCTGAGAGAGACGTTGCTTAGTAATAAACAATAACTGTATTCCATAGAATTGTGTGCTGCGCATAACAATTATTAGCCCTAATCATCACCTGGGATTATGGCTCTAAGTGCATGTATATCCTGTTAGTACAGAAAATTGGTGCAAGATTAATGAATCAAATATATAACGACAAGTAAAAGTTTACAGTTTGATTCTAGATTATAAGTAAACCTGTGTTTCATAAAAGCTGCCCTTATCTATAGTAAGGCTCAAGAGACAAAATTCTTGTTAGTCACAGCATTGCTCCAGTAACTTTATTTGGGAGTAAAAAGCATACCCTGGGAATTTGCTCCACATGTACCAGACCACTAGTGTTAAAGATCATTTATATTGATCATAAAGTCAGCTGCATGAAGACCCTGACCAAAATATCCTACAATTAATTGAATTTGGAACTATAACTGGTTATATTTTCGGGTTGGTATGCATAGAAATGTAACCAAAATTCTACTGGGCATCTAATATTCTATTTTCAAGCCATATATCACAAATTTCGTTTGTATATTTGGAGCATTAATTTTAACATCCAACATCCTTGTCATTTTGGCTATCCAACAGATATAGATTACCACTTACCAGATATATTTGAGATTCTATAAACTAAGTAGACATTCTATGGTGAATGCTACCTTGATCTAGTATTTCTAATACTAATTAAACATATAAATAAATAATTATAGTACATATTTGATTTGAAAAAAGAAAAAGTCAATAAAAAAAAAATTGATATTACAGTAGAATCTGTATGAGCAGCCACTCCTATTCAGCGACATCTCCTTGTAAGCGGTCACGATAAATTCCCCCACGTAAAAATTCTATTGTTTCATCTCTTTATTCAACGGTCACTATTTTACTAATAAATTTAACAAAACATCGCCCATTCAACGCCCATTGTTGAATGATAGCATCTTGTCGTTCTTCATAACACCTCCGCTAATCCTGTGACTAGTAGTTAATTAACTGGACCCCCACTGATCAGGTAAAAAGAAATGTGAAAATAACAATAAACCCGGGATTATCTGTTAATTAATCTTTTGTTTTATTAAAACGACTAACCTGATCATTGTTTTCACGCGTAACGACACATTATTTGATACTGATTGAAGCCGAGTTTTGTCACGATCATCTAGTATCTCTTTTCCATTGCCACTTTGTTGTTAAACAGACGTTTTAGCGCCTCCTATAATATTACACCCCATGTAAATCAGTGACAAAGCAGCGATGTTTTTTTGTCCATGTGCTTTTTTTGATAAAATAAAATTAATTCATCGATTTTCTTCACAAAAATGGATAAATATTATCGAATGCATCACAATGGTAGACAGTAGTATCGAAGGTTGGTACAGAATGACAAGTTTACAGAAGTTATGTCCGAGATTTGAGTAAAGAATTTTCGTTCGGCACAAGATTCAGCGACGGTCAAATTTACCGACACAAGTATTGATGTTTGCTTCCAATGCACCCAAGCATAATATTTAATTGATGTCAGCACAAACGCACCAAGATTTTTTTAAGAGGCCACTCCTGTTAAGCGGTCAGTCATGAAAATTCCCTTGGGTGGCTGCTTAATACAGATTCTACTGTATTGGTATTTAAATTTTTATATGTGTCTAATAATGAGATCTAATATGACTAGTTAATTGATTATTATAACAAATTATTTCAACCTCTGAGTAACATTGGCTAGAGCTACAGCAAAGGCTTGTATAGTAGAGAATGGATATTGGAAGTCCAGTGTGTAAGCGTTACTGTCAATTCTACCAAACTGCATTACCTGTAAAACATTACAAATGACATTATCTTTATTACACGTTATCCTACAATACATAAAATATATAGAAATGGAGTTGTGGCTCTCTTTTTGGTGGGAAATTTGGTTAAATGCTCTTTTATTTTATTTATATATCATGTTTCCTCCGTTACTGACACTAGTACCCAGATATTGGATAAATTTCAGTTTTACAACTTCTGTAGTTTAAATCACCACATCTATTGACTACTTTGAGCGCCATTTAGCAATTGACATACGTAATAAAGACAAAAACATAATATGGAAAACAATTACTATTTTAATTAAAGCAACATTTCGTTGAGGGTTCTCTCAACGCTGAGAAATCCCTCAATGAAACGTCGCTTTAATTAAAATAGTAATTGTCTTCAGTTCCATATTATGTTTTTGTGTTTATCTATTAACTACTTGTCAAATTTGAAGGTAGTGCCATCTAGTGTCCTATACACAAATGGCTGACCTAACATCAAAATCTGTAAGCTTACAGCTGTTAATTAAACTGGGCAGGGGTGGGTTGGATGGGGTAAACTGGGCATATCATAATACACTAATATCGCAAATTCAGTCTCAAAATTGAAATCTCCCGTCATTTTCAGGTGCAAACCCTATTTTCCAAAATTTTCTTGGGAGAGAGCACCCTAGACCCTTCTACAGAAGCCCCATCGGCGCTTTCCCACCCCCACCCCCAACAATTTTGGGATAGCTACAGGCCTGCTGGGTACACAATCAGTAGACTGTGGTACTTGATAAGAGTTAAATTAATGACTGTTTTTTAAGAATAATTAATGATTGATTTTTAAGAATAATTAACGAGGTGTTGGCCTTTGATCACTGCTAAGTCCATGAAAACGCACACACCTTCTACGGTTTATATGCATCAAAAGGATGTACATCCTGTCTATTTATTTCCATCAATACATATGTGTTTATATCTTTATAAAGTCTCATAAACAATATGGTAGTACAGAAAATGTGTTCCTATGAGGATCTAGCTTTATATTTCATGATACTGGTACATTGTACTTACTTGTTTACCCCGAAATTCTATTTGGAAATTCTTTGCTGATTCTTGTGTTACCCGTCCTCCAAAGTCTAGCTGATATACTTGACTGTTCTCATTCCATAATGGTGCTTTATTATGCATCACAAATTGTTGAAAGCAACCAGCATTTCCATTTCCTTTAACACGCCGTATCTATAAAAAAAAAAAGATGTATCATACATGTAACATTTTTATTCAACCCTATATGCCTATACATTAAATGAAATGTTTCTGAAATGGAAATATAAAAGTATCCATTCAAGTTTCTTTCAATCTCCAGCTTGATGGTTATTGAAGTTAGCAAGAACACTGTCAAAAGGCCTAATTTTTTATAATCTTAAATATGTTATAGGGCACCTTATTGCACTACTTCCATCTTCTCTAGTTTGGAAAGTGCAGAAAAGTAAAGAGTTAACCCCATTTTATTCATATTAGAATACTGGTATTTAACTGAGATTTTAAGTAAAAAAAAAGGTTAGTGTGCAGGTAATACTCTGAATATTACACTACATTGATCAATTCATCCAATTTAGTTCGGACCCCATACTAATCATCTACAAAGAAATGTAGCATCTAAAATAAATTCAAATATGTGAGACAGTGGATGAACAATGGAGACGACAACAACATTACTTTTGGTTTTTCAGGACAGATTTTTTTCTAAATTTAAATATTACATCTATAGATTAAGAAAATGTTGGGATATATCCATATTGCCTTGAATGTCAACTTTCATTGCCAACTAGAGGATGTCCAGTTGCTAGCCGAAACACATCAGATCCTGCTCTTTTAAATATTAGTTATATGATCAAATTTAGAAAAGACTGTGAAAAACATCCCGTTTTATACACCTTAAAAAGAAGAGATTTGCCAAGAGAATGGTATTGATTTTTTCATGAATAATACGAGGGTAAAGTTGACAGGATCTGAAGTAAACATAGTCTAATTCATGAACCATAAGAACCCTATCATTTATAGATGTAATTCCAATAATATTGCAGCATTAGAGTTTAGACATCCAGGAGATTTCCAGGCGACTCCATTTAAATATCCCTTAATCAATTCCGCCACATACAATGATAGAAAAGATGCCAATTTCTTCAGACTTCCATCATATCAGAATACATTTGTTCTAGTCTAATGCATCATGTACATCAGGCTCCTGCAATAGTCAAGGGTACAGAGCTCTAATGTAGTTCCTTTGATGTTACTCTGTACCAATCAATCCAAAAAAAAAAGAACAATATCGATTTTTGTCACGATCATATAGTATCTATTTTCTACTTGCACAATCAAAGCCAATTTTTGTCACGGTCATATAAAATCTATTTTCTGTTGCCACCATGTTGCAGAAACATAAGTTTTATCCCCCCCCCCCTCCCCTCCTAAAATTACATGGTGTTACATCTCAGAACATCGCTGAAAAATGCAGTGATAGTTTTTTTAAAATGTGCTTTTTTTGTTAAGAGGTCAGAGTGGTTGCTTAATACAGATTGTACATATTACACTACTTGATGCTAATCATGGTTAGTAACAGACCCACCGCATTTTATAGATCACTATATGCAATTTCAGTCAAAAGTTCTTCAAGCTTGAAGGTTATCTTGAATCTTACTTCATACATGAACTAACAAAAGAAATGATAAATAACCTAACCTACTAAGTGGTTGATCTGTACGCAGCCCTTATATAGATCTCTGTTTGGCTTGTTATTTGTACGTCTATCGAAAGAAAATTATTTCCCGACTATTACTCGGTATTGCCGCGTTAAAATTGTAAATAAGGTGCGTTAATTAACAAGGTTGAAAAACTGTCTGAGAGGTGAGTTCATTAACGCTAGGGGTGAAAAACTGTGCAACGGTGCATTTTCTGTAGAGGTGTGTTAATTAACCGACCGGTAAAAAATGAATGTCAATGGTGTGTATTGTTTAATTGGCGTGTTTTCTGGCTAGTTGCGATAACTGCACCAAAAGTAGTATAATCAAGGACCAATAGGCTTTATCTGACACGTACGTATTAAATAAAAATTGGGGAAGTAAAACTGTTTTACCGTACGATTTCATTCGACCGTGTGTTTTACGCAGGTCTTTGTATAATTAAAGACAGGTCTTTAGATAGGCGTGTGTGCTCGCTATGATCTACGTTTCTCTTATGCGTCTTTTGTATTGCGTACCATATATTATAAAGTTGCATTTAATGAAATCAAAATATGGACCATAATCTATCGTATACGGAAAGGCGAATGCAATGTCGTCATTTATAAATACCCAGACGTCAGCGCCCAATTTGAATATCCACGGGAATATAGAGAGTAAATCCAGCAAAAACTATTTTTTCTACAACTGAAATATATTTCTGCTTTATTACTAAAAAGACGCGCACTCACCGTTTCATATTTATTAAATACTACGTACGACACAACCAACCGAACAGTGGTAATTCCCACACAAATGATATTTAAACTAAAATTACTTTAGCTTTTCACTAAATGTACATCGCATACAATCCAACGATCCTCATTCCAGAACTTGTAACTTATAATAGCCGTTATTTTTATGCAATTACAGAATTGTCCCGTGATATAACATATCAAAGAAACATATACGCCTGAATTGTCACGTAATCATTTTTCGTGGCTTGTATTCTATTGTTACGACTATACCTGGCGTTTATACTGCGTACCATATCGTCACGCTAGTTATAGATGAAGTTGCATTTAATAAAAACAAAAATATTGACCTTATTCTATCGCACAAAATGCAAGGTCGTCATTTATAGATATCGAACAGGTAGGCCCCAATTTGAATATACCCGGGTATATAGCGAATAAGCCAAATTTGGCGTATGTAAATATACTGATTCTCGTAAATAGTAAATATACTTCTCGTAAATATACTTATTTCGTCTTTCGACAAGTTATTATTTGTGTCTTCAAATTTGTACTATATAACCGGATTGCTGATCAAAAAAATAATATAATTCAAATGTCAACCCAACCATTTCAGACTTTGTGTCTCACCGTTTCACGCATAGTCCGTGCATGGCACGGTGTCGGCAGTCTCCTTGATCAAGTAACAATTCTATTTATACATGTAAAGGCGTGCACGAGCTTATTCGCACGTATTGGAAAACTATTCTGTTGCTTTATTTGAGAAGATACTGATATTAATCTATAAAATTTGTCAATTTTTTCTTTGAAAATTCTGATAAATCGGTAGCTTTTCGGGAAGCGTTGATCATATCGCGTACACTGTTTGTGTATTGCATGTTTTTTTTATAATAGCTGAAAGAACATATAGCTCGTTAAATAGATGAACAGCCCAACGAAGATTCGAAACAAACAGCATTGTAATTTTATGCAAAAATACATTATCCTGTTCCCCAATCCAATTTGATTTGATTAAACTTCACATTTCATTTAGACCTTAGACAATTACGTTTCCAACTGGTACGGAGTAGTAATTCAAATTTATTATTATCATCGGAGAGATGTTTTTGCAAATAAAGGGGACAAAGCAATATTAATACTATAAATCGAAATTTTCTTACTGTTATACACTGTTAGAATTTTTGGGTCGGACCGACCAAATAATATTGGGTCAAAGGCATCCGACCCAAAATATACTAGTCAGAAATTTTAGGTCAACCATTTTGACCCAATAATATTGGGTCAATGGCATCCGACCTAAAATATACTTGTCAGAAATTTTGGGTCAAACATTTTGACCCAAAATTATCATGTCGCCACATCTTTTGGTGGCTACCCAACCCAATCTCTTTGGGTTAAAATCTTGGTGATTAGAATTTTTGGACGTCCGACCCAAAAATTACTGGTCAGAAATTTTGGGTCAGCCATTTTGACCCAAAAATATCATGTCGCCACTCTTTTGGGTTGCTAGCCGACCCAATCACCTTCGGTTAAAGTTAGCACCTGTAGGCCTATTGACGTCATTATAGATGACATCAGTGATTAAAATTAATAAAATCGACGCCATGTTAAATGTTTTAATACGCCGTTATGTTATCTATCATTATAATCATAGTTTTTCTTGCAAATCTATGTAATATTCGTAGGTGAGTATTTTGTCATTATCTGTCAAAGTTTCATTCAAAATCATATTCATTGTTTCAAACTTGATCTTGACCATGCGATGCATAGGCTAACCTCACCTGTACGCTTTCACAATTAATTGTTGTGTCTGTTAAGATTTATTTAATGAAAGCCGTGAACGACCTAAGAGAATATAGACGACCTTTTCACGGTTATTCAATTACTGAATTAGTTAACGTCATCTTCAACACGGTAGGCTATCTGAAATGAATAGCCTCACTCACTGGGCCTAGCAAATAAATAGAAATAATTATCTTCTTAATCTTAGCAAGTATCATCCATTGAGCTGTTTCAAAGATTGAGCACTTTTTGGGCCCCTTATATTTATTTCAATGCTTTTATTTTTGATTCAAACATTAGACCACCGATAGGACTAGTATGAATGAGTAAGAAAAGTTATATTACTTCTTTTATCCATTTTCAGACCAAGACTCTAAGAGCCTGAAGAGGTGGATGGTGAAGTAGCCTGCTCCTTAACGCGAGGATGACCCGGGTCGCCATCATCGCCACCACAGCCTTACTTGCATTTGCATCTGACGGCGACTACCAATACCAGTGTTCCAGCATTCCAAGTGATTATTACCGAGCCTATACCATAGTTAGACCACCTAAAGCACATTATTAAGAGGAAGCTACCGTGTCCTATATAATATTTTCACATATTGAAATTAAAAATTTTTCTGTCTTTTTCCTGTTTCAGTCTTGTGATTTAACTTCAACCCAAGGCCGCTCATCACATTTTGCATTTCTGGAAACACAAATGTCACCTACGAAGAGCGACCAATCACAATTTCGACCCAACAAAAATGGGTCAAATCCGACCCAAGAAATTTAGGTCCCTTTAACCCAATAATTTTAAGTCATTGCGACCCAAATTTATTGGGTCAAAGTGACCCAAAAATATTTTTTGGGTCGGTCATGTCTGTATCCAATACTCTTGGGTCGGATTTGACCCATATTTTTGGGGTCTATTCGAACCAATCCTTCTAACAGTGTACATATATAAAAGGAACAAAATTGGTGCCAGTCATTATCACATATG